GACCGTTCTGCAGCTTTCAAGGTATGGAGCATGTTGGGGGTTTTTTGTGCTAGAACTGCAGCATTCCCAGCAATTTCATTAAGTTTGTGAAGGAGAGAAACCCACAGTCGTCTCCATCCCAGTGGTTCATTGGAAAAACATATCTTGTATTAAATACTTTAAAGATTCATGAAGCAGCTTTAATTTTGTTTGCATTTCTTCCTGAAGGGTAAAGCTGTCAGAAATCTCTAAATGCATTGCCTAATCCATTTCCAAACTCAAAATATTAAGGTCTGCCAGCAAAACTCATTTTTGGAGTTTAGCAAGTATGCAGACAGGAGAGAAGGCAGGAGAAAGCAGGAAAGATTTTTCTTTCCTTGGTAATGCACTGAACTACCTGCATGGCTGTAGTGTCAGTCCTTCCCAAAAAATAGCGCAACTCAAATGGACTGTAAGACCAGCTCTGATAAATAGAGGACCTCACATGTTTCTCTTGGATCAGATACAAATAGAGTAAATAGAGACAAAAGAGAATTTCCTTCCCTTCGTTGCCTACAAGCTCACAGGGCTGCCATGAGCAGGCTCATGTGCAGCTGAGCAGCTTTTGTTTTCTCATTGTCCCAGTTTCTAATCTATGACCTTTTTTGCATTAGTACATAATTTTTTTTCCAAGGTCTGGTCTGCCAACTGGAGAGCCTTTCCTGTTTTCTTATGCCTGCTTAGACAGTGCTCACACTTGGGCTCAGGGGGCTGGCTGGGAAATGTTCATTTAAGGAACCGGTTCAATGCAAGGGAAAGCATGAGTGAAAATCATCTCCAGAGTAGAGAAAAATGATCTGACATCAAGCTCTCTGTCACGTACAAAGGAAATACCTCTGGGTTGCCAGCCAAGCTCTGCAGTAGCCAGTACAGAGCAAGAACACTCAAAGACTCTTCCCAAGACAACAGCAGGATGCCTCAGGTTTGATGCTTGGCATGTTGTATGAAAGGTGCCTGAAGGACTGTTTCACATATCGGGTTCAATCCATCCTCAGCTAGTCCATGGAAATGATTAGCCATGGCATCGTTAGCCTTTGCTTGAAATCGCTAGTCCTAAATTAATCCAGCAGTGTATTTCTCTACAGCATACATATGTGCCCTGGAGAGAGGCACTGCTTCTCATGCAGACCTGAAGTCCTTTGCTGGTAGTACACTGTAAGACCTGATGACAGTTCATAAGACTAATTTAGAATTACAGTAATATTAAATGTGAGCTATGTCTGGCCAGCTTAGACCATCATTAGCTACTACAGAGGTCAAATGGATGCTTTAAGTTCTTCCCAAACTCAGTAGCGTTAGACAAATGTTAATGAGGCCAAGATTTGGCTATCGGTTACTGTAATTGTCCTCCCTCACTGTTGCCACAGTTTGTAATGTGATCAAACCTAGTGCAGGGAAGCGGAGAGCGTGGTGGTACCCAGCTCCCTTCCCTGGCAGAGTGCTGGTGCCGTGGGCTCCCGAGCAGGGCAGCCAAGCCTCTGCTCCCTGAGAAGGGCTGCCTTAAACACCCGGACACTTTACTGCACAGTATCAGGGCTGCCAAAAATGGATGATTTCTTAATTTCTTTCCAAAGTCCTTTTGGTGGTCAGGTTGAAGCATATAAGGGTGTGCCTTGCTAGGACACCTTCATACAGTTTGATGTCTTCACCTTCTGGTTACTTTTCTTCTCAGAAGAAATAATAAAAGTGACTAGTCTCATGTTAAGCTCCTCCATCGTTAGCTCATAGGTTTCTTGCCTGATGCTTTCCCTCTGTCTCCAGACTGCTGCTCAACCATTTTCTGAGAGGGTGCCCTATGCCTCATAGAAAGTTAATAGGCTTGTTATAGCCTTACTTTTTTCCTGGGACTTCCCTGGAATGAACTGTCTCCTGCTGCCATGCTCCAGGGCCAAAATTGAGGGCTGCACCAAGGAGGACTTCACGTGTCCTCCTGACACTCTGACTTTCTCAACCTTGCATACAGGCAGAAGTGACCGAATGTTCCATTGCAATGCACTCGGTCTGTTGTCAACATCTGGCCCAGCAAAGGCATGGTAAGGTAGTGGGCACGGTTGTGCTTTGAAGGTAGTGCATTCTTCTTGCGTGTGACTTGCTAATGTCCCTGTTTGGCCCAGAGTGTCAGTCGCTGGTTAGAGTTTCTTGGAATGAAGGAAGTATTAACTGTAAATTGCTGTGGCTGGTATCTAATTACAGAATACGTTGGGAAGCACTTGGGCGACAATCCAACAAAGCACTTAGCACCCACTGATTTTTAAGGGAAGGCCCCTTGACTGGGATTGCTCGTGCTCTCAGACATCATCAGAAGTGTTTGTTAGTGGACCAGTACGTTCTCCTGACTACCTCAGCACATCCATCTCATTTTCTGAAGCAACTTAAGGAGTCGGGAGTTCAAGGTTGACTGGAAGTCTGCAGGAAATGAACTCCTAAATCACAGCTGTACTTTGAAAAGTCTACTCAGTTGGATGGCTGCTTTTGCTGTTCTTCAGCCTTGCTGTAGTAAATAAAACTATGACAGCTTTTATACCACTGCTGAATTCTGAGGTTTGCCTTTGCCCATCTAGCTGTTCCTGTTGCAGCGGGGTTACCTAAGATATTCTAACATGTAACAGTTGGAGCGCTCTTTCCAAATGCAGACATAATGCAGTTTTTCAACTATGTCCTGCTAACAGAGAAAGGGGAGAACTGACAGAAGGAAGGTTGCAGTGAGAAGTGATAGGACTGACTTAACCCAGGTGGAATAACGAATTCAAAACAGCCTTTTATCAAAAGCGGTCCATGATGCCCTACAATGTAAGTAATTGTTGAGAACCATGGCATGAAAAGTCTTGTGAACCAGCCAGACCATAAAGTCACACTTAGGATAATAATGCATTGATTTAATGTGACAAAGAACAAATAAATCAAAAGTGGAGATTATGGTGTAGGGCTGCTGGTTTTAAAGCTTGTATTAGAAATACCGATTTTTGTACAATGTTAAGTGGGAGGATGAAGGAAAAGCACTGGGGATTAGTCCTACTCAACCTTTCAGTCTGGACAAGAACGTGTGGCTGGAGGTGCCCAGGTGTTGCAGTTCACTTACCAATAAAACAAATACTTTTTACTCCAGAAAAGTTCAGCAAAATTTCTTGATCAGAAGATAAAGGAAGCCCAGCCTAATCCACTGAGGTCTTGTACTATTTCAGTGGTTCCCTATCTTTTCCTAGGCAAAATACTTTGGTCCTTCCACACATGCCTCTCTGTTTGACGTTTGTGTTCATCCTACCTTTCCTTTGATTGCTTGTCCCTCTCCATTGCCAGTGCTGCTTTGACTGCCCTCTCGTTCTCACTGCACTTCCTCCTCCTTGCTGTCTCCAGATTTTGGCCACACGGTGTCTTTGCTTTCCTTCTTTCCTGCTAGCTCTGAGTGCTGATGCAGGACCCCACCAGGATGCGTGGCCTGGGGTGGGCTCCCTCCTCTGCCTCACTTCCACCAGCAACGCACCCCGTCCCTGGGTACCAGTCCGATTTACTGAGATGCAATTTGCTATGTCCTGCTGATACAAGTGAGGCACTGAAGCAAATTGCTGTCAGATCAAAGACGTCCCTCATCAAGGGAAATCTTGCAAGGTCCATGTTTTTAGCTGATGGCTCTTTCCTGTTAGTGAAGTATTCCTGATGGGCTTCTTTGATATGTTGGTGTGGTCAAGAGGAAAATCACATTCAAAAAGAAATTCAAAAAGGAGGCTGTGTCAGAGCATTCACACCTCCTGTAAATCTCTGTCCTTGTTCCAGGTTTATTTTTAGATTGTGTAGGAATGCTGCTTAGCCAGAAGTTTTACACAGTGGTCCTCTGTATGGTACAGGCCACCAGCAAGCTGCCAGTAAGTAGCTATGGTAACACTGTAATCAGTGACAAGTACTCAGGTCTCTGAGCAAATAGTGCTGGCATGAGTAGGAATTATGAATAATTGCGCTTTACTAGAATTCATAACTGATTTCCAGAGGTTACCCAACAGTCAAGCGTTTGTCGCTCTCCCCATCCCCATGACTGCTGATAGTGGGGAAAAAAAGTGATTGTTATGCCAAAGTAATGAGCAAAGAGGTCAGAAAGTTTGATAAGAGCAGGAAAAGTCATTTCCTGTGATATCATTAGCAGTATTTTAGAGAGCAGGTTCAGTAATTGCTATGGTAATTCTGAATGGCTTTTGACTGTGAGAACACGCAGGTAATTTTTTAAAGTTAGCGTCTTTGCTAGTGGGAGAGAATTCCACTAAGATAAGGCAGTATGGTGTTACAGAGGGGCATGGGCTGGGGGGGCTCTGCTCTGTGCTGTGTGACTTCTCCAGGCCTCAGTTTTTCTTCCCAAAACGGTCTATGGTAACATATATGCATCAGTGAGCAAGCACAAAATTGTGAATCTCAGGATGTAGCTGCCTACCAAGGTGACGTCTCAGATGGAGCAGATCTGTTTTGCAAATATTTCAGCAAGTGCATGCCTGTACAACAAACGTCATACATTTATTATTGCTGCACAAACTGCAAAATCAGAAAGGGTGGCAAGTGCTCTTTGTATGGGAAAATGCAAAATTTGCTTGAGTGGGTCCTGGTTTTAAAAGTATGAGATCTAATTATGAATTAATAGCGGACCTTCTTATGGTTCCCCTGGGAGCACAGACAGGCTGTAGTATTGTGGGCCTTCTCCAGGTTGTTTTTGAGCAAAGTCATTGATATTTGTTTGGTTTTCAAGCGATGCTTTTAACCTTCCGGAAAATGAGAGCCTCTATAATCTGTGTGCATGCAGATACAGTTTGGTTTTCACTGAGTTGATGGAAAGTTTGCAGCTCCTAGCTATGTTGCTTCTTTTGAGCTTTTACCCCATGTTTGTTTGGGGTTAGAAAGGACAAAACCTGCAAGTCCCTATGTGCTGGAAAGCAACGGAGGAGAGGACGCTCAATGCCTCCCAGTAGCTACTTGGGTTTTAATTCCTTCTTTCTTCTCTCTAGGTGCAAACAGATGACCTACCCAGATGACCTGCCACAGATCTCTGTGGTCTTTATATTTGTGAACGAGGCGCTCTCTGTCATCCTGCGCTCTGTGCACAGCGTTGTGAATCACACTCCATCGCACTTGCTCAAGGAGATCATTCTGGTGGATGACAACAGTGACAATGGTCAGTATAGGGAACTTTTCCTCAGAGTACTGTATCCTGTGTGGTTAATGGACATGGAATGTGAATCAAAGGGAGTTTGGTCACTACTAGCTTGAATGCTTTTTTAAATGTTGCGATGAAACAGCATTGAGTCATTCTGCATTTAAACAACCAGGGGAGGAAAGTCGTACATGCAACCACTGATTTATGGCTAATAAGCTAGATCATAAGTTGGTGTAAATTAACATACCTTGAAGTTAATAGAAGTTACAAGAGTTTGTGTTGGTTGATGAGATGGTTAATTGAGCCACTTGCACAAAGCTGTGAGTAAATATTAACTATTTGTATAACAAATAAACATTATGTGGATAAACTCTGCCGATTTAATTGAAATCCTCACAGGATGAATGACATTTGCATAGGCAATCTTAATATAGAAATGACACTTTCCTCCAAATTTTCAGATCTAGAGGAACATCACCATTAACAGACTAAGAGATTAAATACTGTTTCCAAGGAAAAGTGGGGCTACAGATTCTCCTTAAAGATAGTTTCTGCTCTTCTACGTGGCAGCACACTTCGCTTCTTCATGTTTTACACAGGCATTGATAGTATCAGATTTTGAGTCTGTTTTTTTTTTTTTGAGGTAGGGAATAAATTACACGATGAGAATGAAACAGTGTAGGCACAAAGCACATGAGACTTTTAGGTCATGTGGTTCATTAATGTAAAAATAACACTTTTTTTACAGCAATCAAACCTCAAAATATTGGTGAGCATATAGGGTGCTATTGTTCAACATGTGTCACAGGGTGGTCGGGTTTGAAGAGCGTTAAGGTTACAGGTGACTAGCAGTGTTGTTGTGTTTAAGTTGTTATACCTTAGACTTCTAGAGCTGTTGCAGCTTCTCAAATCATATTTGTTAAAATAAGGCTCCAGTTTAGCATTTTCTCCACAGCTCAACAGCTTTACATCTTCCAGTTTTAAGTTGCTTTTCCTCTTCAAGATCTCCAAAGAGAAAGGAGGGTTGAGAGGACAAATCACTAAAACAAAAATAAGTTCCCAAACCTATAGATTTAAGAAACCTTTTGTCCAATTCTGCTTTCAATTATGGCAGCATAACCTATGGAGTAATTATGTGAGATTGCAAAGTGTTTGAGTCAATGTAATACAGAGGAGAATTGGACTCCTTGTTTCTCAGTGAACTCTTATATGGCTTTCCTCTTCCAGATAAGTGGAGATTTATCAGGTCTTTGATTCCGATGATAATGATTCTACTGTGTAACATAGAACAGAAGAATGAGGCTTCTAATGTCCTGGAGGCTTCTACTAGTTTTCCTAATAAATATATTTGAGTAAAAGCCTCATTATGAATAAGTTGCAGTGTAAATGAATTGCCAAACTAGATTGATTTAAAAAAATAGAGAGACCATTTTGGTAATTTGCCTGTTTATAAGGCTATTGAAATGAAGCTGAATGAAGGAGTGAATGAGTTCTGCTCCATCTGTGGTTGAATGCCGGAAAATGAACAAAAGAGTACTCGTCTGTTTGAAATCTTCAATATCCATTTAGTTCAACAGGGAAGAAGGAGTCTTGGTATTGAGGAGTCTTAATTATATTTAAGGGAAAACCCTTAAAATTAAGGGAAATTAATTCTGATTTGAATTAGGTCTTGACCCAAAATCCATTGAGGTTATTTTTCAAACTCTTACGGAATAGCTTAAATCAGGAAGAAAAAATCACCAGTCTCCCATGTTGCACTGCTGTAAGGTCGGAATTGCTCCTCCAGAGGCCAGTTGTAACCTAATGCAAATAAGCAGAGAATTAGAATAGTAATTATTTAAAAATATTTAGACAAACTACCTCTTCAAAACAATACTCAAATCCGTCAGGCCATATTAGGCCTGTGCAAGTCTAACGGTAACTGCTCTGATGTGTAGAGAATTTCTCTGAGCTGACACCCCTGGAACTGGTCCACGCCACAACTGCAGTACTTTGTATCTGTGAGAGTGACCAAGGGTTTAGGAATATTTAAGGATTTTTTTCCCCAGAATAAATCGAAGTAAAACATAACGTTGCAAGGCTTTTCTCATTCTGAATATTTGTGGGGTTTTTTTTTTTTTTGTCCTGCAGTTGAGCTAAAATTTAATCTGGACCAGTATGTCAATAAAAGGTACCCAGGTCTGGTGAAAATAGTGCGCAATAACAAACGAGAAGGACTGATTCGAGCCAGAATCCAAGGCTGGAAAGCAGCAACCTCTCCTGTCGTCGGGTTCTTTGATGCTCACGTTGAGTTCAACATTGGCTGGTAAGTCATTGGCTATTCCCACAGGGAGAGCAGCACCCTTACGCTGTGCCCTGTGTCTCAAAGGCTGTAAAAGAGATTTGCTCAGCAACAGGGGAGCTGAAAAACTGTAGGGATGAGATGGCTGTAGGCTGGTGTTATCACATTAGCAATTACTTTTGAATAATATTCTTGATTATTGCAACATTGCTGACAATCTTCTGCAATGACTGCAAGATCCATAAAAAAGCTGTTGTGCCTGCTCTAGTACAGCTCAGTGGAGGGAGAAGTAATTTAAACCACAATGAATATGAAAACTCCAAAGCAGTTAAATGGGGAGACACCATTAAGGAGGCTCTGGGCTGGAGGCATGCTTTCAAGTACGTTTATTTTATCTCCATGTCATTTTCTACCATTTCTTCTTAGAAACTTGAATACCAATCTCATTTCCTCATAAATTTTCTTGCATTTACATTTGAGGGAAACATTGAATTATTTCCTGCATTTTTAATGGGGCTTGAAATTAGCATGCCTTTCCTCATCCCCTTTGTTTTGCAAGGGAGCGGTATTGACTGTGGCAAGCACAGTTTTGGACCTAATGGTCCACCTCTGCAGTTGGAGTAAATCTTTGTACCGCCACTTACTGGCCAATATTTGGCATTACTGGAAGTCGGGACTGAAGGAACTGATACGTACAGTCAGCTGAGAAAGGGAGGCTGGAACCTTCAGTATGTAAAGTGTGTATTTTCCAAAGATAGGCTGGTATTTGATAAAGATGATGCAGGATTATGGTGGAGCTGATTATGCTCTGCAGTTCTGGGAGATATCCCCAAATTAAAACTAAAAATAGCTGTACTTATAACCAGAGAGAAATTTAATTGCAAAGGAGTGGAGTGTTTATTTTTATATGTTCATGAATATCTTTATAAAATGGAAGATGCAATAAAATAAGTCTTGTAGTGCACCTGGTTTATGTTCACCCCATTTTTTTTCCCCAAGAGTATGAAAGACTATAATAGCAGTTGTAGTAATTTTCTAGAAGCTTAAGAGCTGGTTTAATTTATTTATTTACTTTTAAAGCAACTGGTTCTTTCAAATAATTGCAAATGTTCATGTAGGGTAATATCAGCTACTGGTCAGAATCAGGGACTGGGGAGAGCATGCTCTGGGTGCTGTTCCCAGTGCTTGTCCTGCCCAAGCTGCAGTTTTCTGAGCCTTGCAGAGAATTTTGTTATCACTTCTATAAAGGACATTGAGATCTTATTGATGTACTCTACCGAGAGAAGCTAGGCAATGGTGTCAGTAAGCAGGAAGGGTTTTGTGCTTGTTTTTGGTTTTGTTTGGAGGTTTTTTTAACCTTACTGCATGGCGTTAATGTCAGAAAGGGTTGAAATCAGCATAGCAAGAACCTAGAGTCTCTCAGTAAATGAGTGTGTGTGTCCTGGAGTTTTTTTTAACCTTACTGCGTGGCGTTAATGTCAGAAAGGGTTGAAATCAGCATAGCAAGAACCTAGAGTCTCTCAGTAAATGAGTGTGTGTGTCTACATCCGAGATAAAAAGTGTTTGCATTTACTGCATCCTCCCTGGTGTACTCTTCTTTCAACAAGTGCGCTTAAGTCTCAGTAATACTGCTGAGCCAGGCTGTGCAGCTGCTTTGAGACCACCTGGCTTCTGGAGTGGCCGCAGAGGATGAATGAGAATAGCAAATGTGCACCAGAAGCGTCGCGTATCCCTTTGTTTCAGAGCCACGTGGAGGCTCAGAGTGTTCCCTTCTGGTGTTTCTCCTGTTCCCCTCAACCTTTGGGGCTGCTGACAGCCATCTCAAACCTCGTTCTATCTGTTTCCTCCTAGTTCTAATTCTGTCCACCTGTGCACACACGGCTGCCTGTCATCTCAATTTTCATCTCATCTTCTTTTACTAGGAGGGACTGGAAATCCTTCCATCTGGAGTGCTCTATTTTTTCCCACCAGGTTAACATTACCCCTGCTCCATAACCCTATAAACTTGGTAGTCATGCGGGAGTATCTTGTAAAAGTACTGCTGTTCTATTCTCCTACTAAGTCTCATCTTGCATGAATATTTCCCCCCATTTTCAATGTATATTCATGTATTCAGAGGCCACGTGGATTGCTCCCACTCAAAGCTATGGATTATTTGTGAGGCAATTAAAAAGAAGCCAGTTCCTTTACCACAGAAAAGATCATTAGCTTTCTGTTTGGTTTGTGTGCCATCTAAAAGTCAACTACCTGCAGTGCAATTTTAGTCTTCCAATCTATGGCTGCTTTACCTGCCTAATGAGTTGGCAGATTAATTCATAAAGAATCAGAGGAGGACTTCATCACTTCCTCATGAAATATGCAGGACTTTGACAACAAAAGAACTTTTCTTTAAACAATAGTTGCCCCATTTATGGATGAGCTTTTGCCTTATATTGCACTATAGCATTTTATGGGCTTTCACAGCATTACTCTCCAGGGACACTTTTTCTAAACTAAAATACAATCTGGTAGGATATAAAAATATACTCTACAACCTGGCAGGTCAAATTAACTATTGAATTATTTATTTTGCTGTGCTTAATTGCTGCTTTTTTGCTTCTCAGGTGTTGAAATGTATTAACGCAGAGCAGAGGTTTTCTACTGACCTGTTCCCCTTAAGGCTTTTGAGAGTGTAAGCCAATACTGCTGCTGTGAGAGCAGAAGTGAGGGGACTAGCTCAAAGGGAGGCCATTATTATTAATGCTCAAATGGAATTTAAAATTAAAATTACATGATAATGCATGTGTACAGTTCATATGTAAAATTCTACCTGTCCTGCAGTAGAACCTTGTCTGGTTTTAATGGTGACTTAACATCAATAGAAGTCAGCATCTAGGGCCAGCAACCCAGCAGAGCCAATAGGTATGAAAAGCTCCTGTACGTTCCTCTCTGAGGGTATATTTAAGCCTGCATAGTTCTGTTTTCCCTTCAGTCCTCTCAAGTTTTCAGCATTTCTGCTCTGGCTTTTGTATTAGGTCCACCCGCTGTGCGTTAAGCAACGCACAGTGACACTGAGTATAGACCATTGCCGCTAATTGTGTTGCAGAAGATATAGAGCATTATATAGACTCCTGTCTTTGAGAGATGGGAAAGAATAACATGGCAAGGAGAAGAGAACTTCACTACATTATAACTGGGAGCAGGAAAGAGAGATAGCAGAGATGGGGTGTTAATTCTCTGGGTAAGAAAAAGGACATGTTGAGTGAAGGAGAGCAGAAATCGGTAAGTGAAATGCAGAGACCACAATATATTAGCAGCCATAAAGAGGGTGCTAGGAGCCATAAAAGAAGACATAATGGTAGAGTATTATACTTGCTTTCTCTTAGGAATTGCTTTTGCTCCTTTCACAGAGGTAGTATCAGAGCACTGAATGGAGTTATGCAGTACTGTAGTAATTAAAATTTTGCCAGACAAAGGGGGAGTATCAATAAGGCAGCAGTGGAGTAAGAGGATTTCATTAAAAGATTTCAGTATACCAGAGAGACAGAGACAGCCTGACATGAGAAAGAGGACCTGTGTCGTGGTTTAACCTGTCAGGCAGCTAAATACCACGCAGCCGCTCACTCACTCCGCTCCCCTCCTTCCCCCCCACAGTGGGACGGGGAGAGAATCAGAAGGGTAAGAGTGAGAAAAACTCGTGGGTTGAGATAAAGACAGTTTAATAAAACAGAAAAGGGAAAATAATAATGATAATGATAAAATATACAAAATAAGTGATGCACAATGCAATTGCTCACCGCCCGCGCTGACCGATAACCAGGTAGCGATCGGTACTTCCTGGATCACGCCTACCATCCATATACTGAGCATGACGTCACATGGTATGGAATACCCCATTGGCCAGCTGAGCTGGCTGTCCTGATTATGTTCCCTCCCATCTCGTGTACCTAGCTCAGTCAGTAGGCATGGGAGCTGTCCTTGGACTAGGAGGGCACTTAGCAACAACTGAAAACATCAGTGTGTTATCAACGTTCTCCTCATACTAAATCCAAAACACAGCACTAGCAAGAAATTTAACGCTATCCCAGCCGAAACCAGGACAACCTGAAATATAAGCCAAGTATCCAGCAGACTGTGCCACACGTAGCCCATCATTATGGATTATCCCTGAAGCTGGCAGTGTTTTAAAAACATAGAAAACTGGCATTTTAATGAACTAAGAAGAAGAGCTAAAGATCAGGATCCCCAGGTCTATGGATAATACTTTGCAGATGCTATTTTATACTGTAATATGTAGTGCAATTTGCTATAGTGGCCATAAGCAATGCATTCTTGAGAAAGTGTGTAAAGGAAAAAGGAAGTTGATTTCCTCCTAATCTTCTACTGGCTTTGGTTATCCCAAGCATTCTATAACGGAGACATGGTTATGCTTTCGTAGGGCAAAGCCACAAGGTCTTCGCTCCCCTGAGAGTTCCCTTGTTAATATTTTCATGCAGTGTACTGGAAGCCAAACTCTACCAGCAGGTAAACTCCCCGTCCCCCCTGTTCAAGTGCAGGTGGCTCTTTGGGGACCTGGCAAGGTCCAGGTGGTTCTTCCCTTCTAGGGAGAGAAGTGCTGAAGGTGAGGGTGAAATTACGTTTGCAGTCCTTCTCCTGTGCAGTCCCTCCCCTCTGGAGGGTTCATGCCTATCACTCCTGCTCAGGACGTGGTTCCTTGCAGCATCCCTGGTACCATGCGGAGTTTGACCTGGGAATGTTCATTTATGTAGATGCAAAAGAAAGGACATGTGTTTATTAAGGGACTTTTTTCTCATCCAAAGCCTCTACCATCGCTTAGGTAACTTAAGTGACCGTCAATTTGGTAACTTAATGGGATACATGTTTTAGATAGCAAAAGTGAACTAATATTATCCGAGTGAAGAGGGAAGCGTGCAACATAAGCCGTGCGGGCCTTTCAGATTCATGGGACAGTGCCAGCTTACATACAGAGACATGCCAGAAAAGCAACTTCAACTATTCATCTACCCAAACAACCTAGAGTGTTC